TGCGACAGCGAAGAACGGAGTGCTGTGCTAATAGCGGTTTCCTGCAGAAGAAAACCAGTACAATCACGCATATAGAGGATATGAAGCAAAAGAAGAAAGAGAATTGAATAATAGAACAAAAGAAAATTCAGAAGTAAAATATAAAAAAGCATTTGATGAAAATGGTGATGGTGAGCTCTGTGGACAGTCACCAGCTTTTGAATGTTATGATTGAACATAGAAACTCATAAGAACTAAGCAACTCTGACAATATTGAGCGGACAAACGACAGCAGCTCAAGAAGTCATTAAAAAACCTGGCTAATTGAAAATTCATCGGCGGTTCTACAGCTTAATCTTTATAACAGCTCGATACTGAGGAGAAGGAGAATTGCAACAATAACAAGAACAAAAAAATAACAAGAAAATAACAAACGAAGCTTCTGAAAAACATGGCTTTGAAGCTACAAGCCTCAAAACAGCTATACAATCAGAAAAGCCATACAGTTACACAGTTATACAACTTATAACAACTTGGCCCAGTGAGCTGCTACAGAGAAAAAAAACGGGAGTAATGATCATAAATTCATAGGACTACAAATTTTGTCGTACAACATTGACACTGGAGACACCGGCAAAACCTGAAAATCAAAACTGCAGTTTCACAGTTACATAATGAGGATGGTGATAAAGATTACTAAGAAAGCGTACGTAATTCGCAACTCGATCAGCGATGCCGCGATCAGAGTGACCAAACCGCGTATGAAGACATTCTAGCTAAACTACATATTTGCTGACTACTACGTACCTTATCGCTATAAGCGCGCTTTTCAAAAATTTTCGAGAGTTCTCACGCTAGGATTTAATTGCATGAGGACTGTACCCTGCAAAAAGCAAAAGCCGTGGCGACTGAACGCTGCTCCTGGTAGTGAGGGATGTCGATTTGGGGGAATCAGCCGCACTAGGATTGAGACAGCCTTGTGGCTGCCGCCTACACTGCTGTTCACATGAAGAGGTAACCTACGTGTGTCACTCGCAGGTTGTCTCGTCAAGTGACCAGAGAGCATGATTAACGAGAAGCTTTGTTAAAGGGGCCCTGTTACGTGACAGGCACAGCCTGGCATTGGGAAGTATTCTTGCTAAGTACGATCCGCTCTTCTCAAGCGACAAAAAAATCCCGTAGGAATCGCAAGTGTACGACGAGCCCTGTCGATAACAAACACTTGATCGCGGTTCTCAATGGCCCCATCAATGAGTATATAGCGCGTGCATCGCTGGACGAGCTACACAACGCGTTTCGAATAAAACATCCAACATAACTGCGGCTTATTGTGACTACTCTTATTAGCGCTGTAATGAAACTGTCCTATTCGAGACTCCTCACTGAACTCAGAACTGTTAATCTACATCGAAGACATAAATAAAAAGTACGTAAATACAGGGTCGCACCTTGTGGAAGAGGAGCCGAGAAATTCCATGCCGAACGCTTAAGGATACCACGAACCTCATCTTCAGGGCTGGACAGTCCTTAAAATAATCACTACGCATGATTCAATTATAAAAGAGTACCATTTACCAGTCATTGTCTTTTAGCCACAACTATGGTAAGGCTACATTACAATACTGATTAATTCGAATAGATCGGAGGTAGAGTATTTGGTACGTTGATGACAAAGTGGTACAGCACAAAGTTTTCCACTGTGACGGACGATCAATTATCCCGATTATCAAGCTTTGTCAGATATAAAAAAGATCGGTACCTCGATAGGAGAGCCCACAAGTATTCAATAGATGAACAGGACGGGAAATTACTAACGAACCGAGCTTGTATTCAGCGAAATTAGAAAAGTGCTTCCCCAAATATAGTAAAAGCGTGTATATGAACAGGCTGTCAAATACTGCTGAGCAGTGGTGTGGATTATGAAGAAATCGTGAAGGAAACATGGGACGGCGCACAGTACCTTCTTTCTATGGAATATGTACAGTATCCCTTCATCAAAACGGTGGTGAAGTCCGCTCCTCCACGCGGTGCCACTGGGAACTGTTCGCTTTTGCGAGCTGAGCTGATCGACATCCGAATGCAGGTGACAGGCCTTCATGGCTGGCCGGCCTACGAACACCCCATGTCACATCACAATGTTTAACTATACCACATGTGTCATGATAGTGGTGGCGATTGAAAGAGCGGGAGGCAGTGGTGATTTCTCGCACTCTATTATCGGAGGTTACGACTGTCGAAGGAACCTGGAACGAAGCCGTTGAGTCGATAATCCAGGCCGCAACTCGGCATGACCATGCTTGGGCAGCGTAAGATTGACAAGCAGCCTTGGCTGTGGACGGAAGACGTCCAGGCGAAGGTTCGAGCGAAGAAGGAACTTTATCACGTGTTTCTTGGGAACAAGACGGCTGACAACTGGCGGAAGTACCAGGAAGCGAGGACTGCGGCAAAGAAGGCGGTCGCCGTAGTGAAGGCCGCTCATTTTGACGATGTCAGCAAGAAACTTGAGACGCGCGACGGTGAGCGGCACTTGTACCGACTTGCCAAATCTCGTCACCGCCAAACCGAAGACATAGAAAAGTTTTTTGGCATCAATGACGAGATGGCCATCTTCTGATGAAACGAAAGAGGGTATTAACACGTTGACGACGAGCAGTTTTTCTTTTTCATGAATTGCCCGTGGGACGGCACGTTTTTCTTCGTAGAAACTTAGTAATTTTTGAATAAATGAATGGCTACGGTCAAAGTGTTTCAAGAAATGCAAGATACGAGTAAATCTCGAATCTTTGACACAATTTAGCTTTTATTGCTCCAATCTTCCAAAACCAGGCCATTTTTTACCAACTTCTTCCTCTGGAGGCAGATTTGGCTGAAAATTTGTCTGCCGGGGTAGTTTGACCTCCTAAAGATCATTATCGATGTTTGTTCTTGAAATAATTTTATGAAAAGAAAATGAAACAATTGCGCAGATTTTGAGTTATATAATAACTGTAGGATAGCATTGGGTCGCGCCATTCCACAAGACAAACTGGCTATCGTTCACCATTGACGGAAATCGTCGTCAACGCGTTAAGTGGATATGATATTCTTGTTCAGGGGTCGAACTACCCTAGGGACAAATTTTCAGCTAATTTGGTGATCTTACGGTATTTTGGCGCAAGCGCGAGGCACCAGGCGGTTTCGTGGCAAGCGATTGTGATATTCGTGTTCACGGCGTCAAACTACCCCACGAGCCAAGTTTTCAACTAATTTGGTGATTTACGGTATTTTGGCGCCGGCGCCTGTGGCGCGGGCGCCAGGTAGTTCGTGCCAAGCAGCTGTGGTATTCATTTCAGAGGGACAAGCTACCCCCAGGGACACGTTTACGACAAACTTGGCTGTTCGTTCATCTTTATTCTTAGAAAATATACTGGCAGACACCATTGCCTGCTCGTCGTCAACGTGTTAAAGCGATGGCAAGACTATTTCGAGAGATCTCGACGAAAGAATCTACCCATCCGGTCATCCCCTCTGCGGCTCCAATACACGGCCCCTTTCGGAAGATTTCGTTGAGGAGACAGAAGCGGCTCTGAAGAAGATGAAGGCAGGTAAAGCTACAAGTCCCGACGACTTGTAACTTATGGAAGTCACAGCACAGGCTCCGCAGAGCGAAGCTTTTCAACCAGATCATCGCAAAGAAGAAGGTGCCCAAGAGCTGGTTGCAGAGCACGACGATAGCACAGCAAGCACAGATTTCTCGACCTATCGCCTTCTTTCGCACCCTATGAAAATCTTCGAGCGGATTGCTGATGGCACTACTCGTGACATCGTCCAGCTCTCTGCCAACCAGTGTGGCTTCGTAACTGGCTGTAGCACCATCGACGCCATTCACGCTGCTCGCCTTTTGCTTGAGAACATCGTGAGAAGCAAAAGCCTGTGCATGTAGCCTTTCTAGATCTGGAAAAGGCATTTGATCGCGTGCCGCGAGACGTTATATGGTACGCCTTGCGACAACACGGTGTCCCTGAAGAGCTAATCGAGTGGGTCCGCATCCTTTATTCAAAGCCAGAGAGCCAAGTGCGGACTCTTGCAGGCACCTCGATGGAGTTTCCCATCACCGTTGGGGTACATCAAGGCTCCGCTCTCTCTCCACTACTTTTTGTTGTCATGGATGCCATCACACGAGACCTTCAGAAGGAAGTTCCTTGGACGCTCCTTTAGGCTGATGGTGTGATGCTTGCATGTGAGGATAAAAGAACACTAGAGCAACAAGTACAAGTTTGGGTACTTGTTGCCAAAGCTAGGGCTCAGGTTAAACTTCAATAAGGCCGAGTGGCCTGACAACCGACCCAGCCGAGACGGGCTCCATCAAAATCGATGGCACTGAGCTCACGCGTACAAAAACATTCAAGTATCTGGGATCAGCAATTACGTCCGATGGAAGATCTCAAAGCGGAGGTGAGCGCACGGGTGAGTGCAGGCGATGCATGTCTGGGGTCCTCTGCGACAGGAAGATGCCAGAGCGGCTAAAGTC